GCTGCAAAGAAGAGGGAACTGGCGGACGGCTGATGTGGTTGAAGCAAAGGGTTAGGCAAGTGATTTGAGGGGCAGAGCACTGTCTGGATGTCGAGATACATTTCAGCAGGGCCAACGAAAAGAAGGATGATTGCAGTAATTGAGAGGAGAGCCAGTCAGTTCTTAGGTATTTGGAAGAACAGGAAATTATCACTTTCATAATAATTAATCTGCCTGACCTAGATGTGGCTGCCTGAGAGAAGGTACAGAGAGAAATCTGTGTTTGGTGATCTATGGGTTGTTGGTCTGCCATACAGGTAAGATGTTGTAGTGCCCTCAGTGGTAAGGAAATAACATGGAAGAGGGATGTCATGGCCTTAAGCCATACTGGACTTGCATTGTCAACTCTACCAGCATCTTTTTGCTAGTCTCACTAAGATCTTTTTAAAAACTTTGAAGAACATGTGCAGGCAAAACAGACATTTGTCAGTCCTCAGCACAAAGATATTAGCTGGATTTTTACGTTCCTGCAGATTGAAATAATTCAAAATAGGATGCAGAGGGAGAAAAGAAGGGGACCGAGGAAAGAGCTTTGTAAGGAACACCAAGAGCTAGCTGGGAACAGATTGGGAAAACTATGTCTCTCTTGCATACTATTTTGAAAGTAGTCTTTAGAATAGTAGGAACAGAATGAAGAGAGACTCAAAAAAATGAAAATGTATGGTCTTGGTAGAGCACCATTACTGGTACCAACAACTGCTAGACCTAAGAGCTGTCTGGGTAGAGATGATTAAAGAAGGGGGAAATATGAACTGCAGCAGGTTTAGGGTGAGACTGGAGGGGAGAGTCTCCCAACAGTGTTGGTAATGGCAGCCATTAGAGATGAGGTTTGGAATGAGAGGGGAAAATGGAGTGAGGCAGGATCTAGAAAGTAGTGCTAGGAATTAGCAGTTGTGTATTTAGCTGTGAAGTCTATAGAAAAAAATAAAGGGGTTTTTTTGATAGCTATTTAGGATCCAAAAAGTGTGACTGCTTTTCTTTGTTCTCTTGCTTTTATAACTGTGTCATCTTTCTGTTTTGTGGTTGTTTAGGATCTGCCCTTTGTGAGATATTTTTGCACAACATAGCTTTCAAAATCTTCCTTCTGTTTATTACTACCTCTGCCCTTTTTTTTCTTCCAAATGCCATGTATTTCATTTGAGAATTGTACCCTGGGGTGCTTCAATTATGCATGAAGGTGGAATATTTGGGATGTGCTATTCACAAGTGCTTTCAATATGCCATCTGAACTTTGAATATGAGCAGAATCGCTAATATTTTAGTTTCTAGGGCACATTCTCTTAAATGAGCAGTCAAGATGCAGCTTTTGTTCCTAAGTGCTCAGTATTTTACTCAGTCTCCGTGAGACCTTACGAACCTTCCACATGAGGATGATGAAAACATATTGGATTGAATGTATCTGGTGCAGTAGGGCTGCCACAGATAGAGACGTGGTAGAATTGACCATGTTGTTGTTCTGATAAGAAACAAATAGTTGAGGGATGACTAGATAAAGCTCCATTTCTGTCCCAGTACTGCAGGTTAAAGATCTTCAACCTGTAGTTGCCTCCTAAGACGTATGATGTTGCATCTATAGAAGTTATCCCATTTGGTGCCGTAGATCAAATGGATTGGTAGCCACTAGAAAAAGATACACAGTGAAAGAGATCTCTGCAGATATTCAAGAAGCATTGCTTTGACTGTCACCTGCAGAAGCAGAAGATATTGGCTGCCAGAATCTCCATCTGTTATCCAGCAAGAGTTGTTCAGCCTGTACTTCCAATGATATATTGCTGGTGGTGCACATGGAAAGGGCATAAAGCTCTAATGCTGTCCCAGGGCAAACCAGAAAGTCTAGTTAATGGTTTAACAAACATTTTTGAGGAGCAGCTTCTGACTGTGACTGTGAAGGTCTTGTAGCCAATTTCTGGCAATTTATGCTTTTTCTGCAGACTGCTGATTCTTAAATACTACTAATGTATTACAGAAAAGGAGGGAAAGCTGTGGGAGGTAGAATGAAATAATCTGGATGAGAGGACAGGGAGAGGGGAAAGTAAAGGCCATATGGGATCTTAGGCATTTGCAAAAATAATTGAAGCTGTGCCTTTGTCAGTTGTCTGTACCCAGCCACTGTTTCACAGCAGCCGTTATGCCTTCCAACATTGTGCTGCTGTCATCCATCTTCCCAATAGAGCTGGACATGATAAAGCTTTGAATGATGCTTCTCCAAAACAAGAAATACTGTGCCAAGAACAAAGGTTGTTGTTGGGTAGGCAAGTAAGTGCCCAAGGAGAAAAGAAAGAAGTATATTTAACATTGAAGAAGGAGGGAAGGTTTAGCAGTGTGTATGGATGTTTGAGTAAAGGGCACTGGGGAGGTGAACAGAGCAAAGGGAGATGAGAATCACAGCCAGGTGCACAGGGAATTCTGCTAACAAAACCGATGGAGTTTGTAGCATCCTACTATGAAAATAGGGGTACCTCAGTGGACAGTTGCATGGTGGGCATGCTCTTAAAAGTAGCTGCTTGCAGACACATACCAACCCACAGTGAGGGACCAGTTGGCACACCAGCAGTGCCAGAAGACTGTCTCATCCCTTAGAGGGACAGCACTCTATAAGAAACATGGAGTGAGCATGGTGCAGCAGAGATTCCTCGTTGGCTAAGACTTACTGGATTAGGGGAGGTAAGGAGTAGGACACTTTTATAGACTTAGATTCCTGCTTTGTTTTCAGCTCAACTGCTAATCCAAGGTCAAAACTAATTGTCCACATCTTCTGTCTTCACTGCCATGTCTGCAGATTTTAAGAGTTTGATGTGTGGTCTCTGTGCTGACGTACTAGTACCCTAATCTTAATTTTGTTGCCAATAATCATGAAACACCTTTGCTGTAAATTTGGAACAATCTGCCCTTTGAATGCATTCCACTGTTAAGCTGCTCTCTGAATCCCTGATTAATAACCTAAATGACTTATCATAATTAGCTAGTCCTCAGCCTTAGAATTGGGGAACGCACAAATTTGACAGCTTTCAAAAGTAAGTGGAGCAGGATCAGGGAGTCTGCAAACATTTCTGCCTTTGTCCTCATCTGGAAGCTGTTTCTATCAAAAAGGGGATTTAATTTTTTTTTTTTTTTTAAGCACTGTGTATTTAAGACTTCCTTTTTAATTCATACTCTATTTCTTTTTGGAATTAGTGCGTATTTGTCCTTGCACCAACTTTGTTCTTTAGCATGTCAGTACCTTCAAAATACAAATTATGTCTCATTTCTCAGAGATTTCATACATAACAGACTCTGATGAAGTCTATTCCACAATGCATGAATTGCTAGGGAATATTACATAAAATATATATAGAATGTCAGTGCTGGGAGATGTACCATCTAAAATAGGGAGAAGCTGTTTAATTGAATTTTATTCTTCTCTAAGATCATTGAGTTACAAATTCCTGGGACCACTACTGCAAACATGAGCATTTTTGTTCTCTGAGCATTGCAATGAACTTTCATTTATAACAGGGTGCGTGTAAGAGAAATAGGCTATACAGGAAAGCAATGCTTCATGCTTTGCACGGTTGAAGTTTCAAACAAATTTAGCAAAGTTGTTGTGGATACATCACTCCAAAAAACAAGGCAAAATTCCTTTTTCCTGCCCCTGAATACTGAACAAGTTTCAGCTTTTTCTCTGACAGGTAAAATTTTCTGGAATTCATAAAACTTTTGAGTACTTTAGAGCCAAAGTCATGAAGGCAGGCCTGTACAGTTTTTTCAGAAAATTTGCATTCGTGTGTGTTTTTTAAATCTTTCCAAGTTCCATGGTGTTAGAGTACTGTTTGAGTGACTGAGCAGTGTCTGCTTCTTCTCATTTTTCTTTCCAGCATGTTATTTTTGCTGACTCTCAGAATAAGATGAAGGTTAGATGCCTAGTTGGCTTTATTGGGTGTTGAACTTTGGTAAAAGTTATACTTGTAAAATACTGTCATTGATATAAAATGGGAGTACAAATGTGTACAAATTTGTATACAAAGGAAGGGTTACACATTTTCTCCCTCTGCATGGCAGTGCAGGAGACTCCTCTCCTGGAGGGGTCTCTGGTACTAATGAAGCAATAGCTTGACTTCAGTGCTCTTTCAGTTGTTGGGACTTTGGTTAATTATAGTCGCATTACTAAGGGGTCAGTGTTCCTGCACTCCAACACAAACACGTGTGTCCACCTACAGCTGATGGTGACAGCTCTTGAAATGCATAGCCCTGTGGACTGACTGTAGCAGGGTATGCGCTAAGGCTCCTGCAGCCTGCTGTGAGACAGGCATTTCCCTACTAACCACAGTGTATTGTGCTGTACCCAGCCTCTGGTTCAGTCTGTTTTGGTGGGTTGTCTCCAAATCATGATCTAAGTAAAGGATCTAAGAACTAGCACTGTGCCTGGAGAGTTTGATGATGATGTTCTGGCTGGTTGGGTATGTGTTTAGCTGGCTACTCTCATTTACGGGGGTGCAGACACAGTTTCATCACAGCCTGACAGTTGCTGCCAATGGGAAATAAATCTGAATATTAATGCAGTGAAGGTAATGGGCCATTTCCTTCTGGTCATCTTGTACTGGCCTTTCGTGAAACTGAAGTTCCCATGCTCTCCTTTTGCTGACAGCATTGAAGTCTACACAGATTCAGTACAACACATAATCTCAATTATGACTGGAGTCTTTTCCTGCCAAGTAAACAATTTTCAAACTGCGCAACAGTGAGAGGAGCCTCAGGAAGTCCTTAAGATGAGGTGAAGGATGCTGTATTTATTGGTAACTGTGCCAGCTAACCTGAGGTGGTTTTAAAGCAACAGCCCCTTGAAAGGGACTTTAATCAGCATTTTATAAAAAGTGTCTGCTGCCTTGATTTTCAGCTTGTCTCACATAGAGCTGTATAAGTTGCATCTGCTCTCTCTGGATTCCTTATAACCTTCTGACTTTTCTTACCATTTCTTATTTAAGATTTATGTCCATCTCAAAGAAGGGAGTGGTGCCGATGGGCTGGATGCTTTAAAGAACAAACCGCAGCTTCACAGTATGGTGGCTAAAAGCCTTTGTCAGAACGCCTCTGGGAAGAACTACATCATCTTCACAGGCCCAAGCATTACCAGCCTGAATCTCTTTGAAGAATTTGAGAAGCAAGGTGTGTATTGGGTGACTGACTGGGTTTTAATGGTGACAGACCTAGATACCTTCTGCCAAAAAAAACTTCCTAAAACTTCCTAAAGTCTTCACTGATATTTTGATTCCTTATATAGGTAAGTTGTTCATCACTAAGAAATGTTCTCATTCATCAGAAGGTACTATACAGAGGACTTTCTAAGTTGTTCTTTAAGTCTTATGCTTTAAGTCTTCAAAATGAGGATGTAAACCACATTTTAATAAGATTATTTAAAGCCCTTGATTTTGTCCTTTGCCTTAGAAATGGGAGGTCAAATCTATATGGCCTGGGGGACTTTTCAGGAGATCTCCTATCTGCTTGTGATTTTTCTGTTCCCGTTGTGAAAGACTATGGGTGGGATGAATCCTTAGGGATGTACCTTAGAAGTCTTTGTTGGTTTAATATCTGTTGGAGATATAACTTCTCTAGATGATATTCTATGCCACTTCAAAAGCCCTAGAAAAGTGGGGGCTTGTTTGTTTGTTTGGGTTTTTGTTTGTTTGTTTGGGGTTTTGTGTGGGGTTTTTTGTTTGGTTTTGGGTTTTTTTGCTGGTATCAACATACCTCGGTAGGACAGTTTTTAGTTTTGGAAGCATAATAAACTCTACATTAGCAAAAGCACACCTGCCAGCGGAATGATGTCTCTCCCAGCAAGTTTCATGCTAGTGCAGAGTAATCCCAGGTCATCCTTTATGTCAGATCCCCCCTCACCTTGGACGTGGAAAAGTCACGTGTTGCTTTACTTTCAGCAATGCTGAGGACTTGTGACTCCCCTTAAATTACAGAACTACACTCTTGCCAGTCACTTTTAAGTCATTTCATGTAACTCTTGGCTTGTTCTTTGGTCATCACGGCCTTACAGAGTTGGTGTGATGTGTAGAATAGGTCCTTCATAGCAGTAAGGCTGGAGGCTGCCAATATGCATCACGGCGAGGCCATTTCCTGTTTCAACACACCACCGATGTCCAAGTTTTGCTTTTGGCATTGCAGAAAATTAAACTCACGCAAACCATTATATTAATGAAACATGGCCCAAAGCAGGGGGAAGGTCTGGGAATTGAGACAATATGTTGATTCTTATTTAAAATGAGAACATCAGTGAGCTGCACCAGTGCTGTAGTTGAGCGCTTCAGACTGTGCTGGCACTGAGGGCTGTCTCTGTTGAGTTCCATGCAGGACTTAGCTCCTACATTGTTTTAGATAAGCTGAAAGCTCACTGAGTACAGTGTTATACCTGCATATTCTTGTAAAAGAGCCATGCTTTCCCAAAGGCTGCAAACAGCCAAATGGGAAAGAAGTCAAGCATATTTGTAGCGCACTGGAGTTTTTCCTCTGAGCAGAGACTGATCTTTAGTAAATAGTTTTTTACAGCTGATTATAAGCATTACATTTTTAAAACTACTAAATCAATGATGCAAAATGTGGGTTTAAAAAAATGGAGAGAATAACACACATACTCCTAGTACCTGAGATTAAATTTTAAGGTTTAAATACAAAGACTGACAGACAAAAACTTGACTGTTGAATTGCATCCTTTATGCTCAGCTAGGGAAGGATAAAGACAATCTGGTGTGATCCAGTTGATCTGTAACCCTGGTGAAAAAGATGCATGGCTACTAAACCAGCTGAGTGTTTATTACTTGCAGGTAATTCAAATTGTTCACAGGGTTGAATTATTCATGGGCTTTACACTGCCCAGATCATTCAAATTAATGGTTTCTAGCAGGTAACAAATTCAGTAGTGTCTTTTTAAAGCATATAATTTTTACTCACTATCTGATCAAATATGCTAATGCAATACTGAGAATTTAGTTTGCTTCATGACTTGTTATATAGCTTCATGAGACTTTATGATCTTTGACAGCTGCCTCCAAAATTAAATTTCAGATCTAGTACACACTATCACCTTCCTAGGGGTGAAGTTATGAGGTGGGTGGGGGTTTAACAGTAAGACAGCAGGTTTATTGACTTTGCAAAATAGCATGGCACTCCTATATCAAGAAGATCATGGGGAACAAAGCATTTCTGTGTAATAAGGTCATGGGATTGTCTGCATTTGCCAGGAGTTACAAGGGGCTAGCTCAGAGGTTTTGCAGGGGGATGTTGAACTGGAAAGACTGTGAGACACTGGGAGAGGTGAGATGCTTGACATGCCAAGCTGTGGTGAAGTCAGTAAGAGCCTTGAAGGAGATGGTGTTTACTGACTCTCTGCAAAGCAGATGGTGTATTGCCAGCACCTGCTGGGATTCTACTGCATTGGCAGGACACTTGGGAAGAGGCAAGCAAAGAAGCCTGGACTGTACAGAGAGATCTCTCCTGATCTATCAGAGTAAGTCCATGTTGGGGTTTTCTGGTAGGTGGCTTAGCCATCTAAATCTGAAAAGGGCCACACCGTGACCAAGATGTGTCAT